TTATCCTGGCCTGTTTCATGAGTTTGTTTCTAAAAATCATTCTGTTGAAGCATGGTTTAACAGCAATGTCTGACTTTGATTGGCTCATTTTCATAAAGGTTTTATTCACTTTTGTCAGATTCAAGTTAACTTTGTGACCAATGTGGGTTTATCTGTCATTAAATGAGGGATACCAACAATTCTGTCCACATGTGAACATTCATTCTAATTAAATTACAATGTTTAGATATTATAACATGTCTATAACTGGATGCACTGCACAGCACTTCACCCCATCTGAAAAAGGTGCTGTACAAGTACATACATTTACAAAATTAATATTATTTTATAATATCTTCAGGCACATTGGTCAAACAATTCAATAGCATAAAAAGTTCAACTGAATATTTCATAAAGAATATCCGATTAAGTCAACCTTAAGGTCATTAATTGTTTAATTCCTATAGGTTTTAGTTTAAAAAGTCATCAGAAAGAGAGAAAAATACAAAAACAGAGTGCAGATCTCTTCTTTATTCAAATAATGCATTATTCTTTACAACATTTTTTTCTTCTTTAAATAAGAAAACTGGGAAAAAGCTGCAAATAAAAAACTAATTTAAACAAACTCAAATATTACAAACCCCATTGTACCAAATCATCATCTGACAAGATTTCATCTGCTGTTTCCTTTTCTTTTAAATCACAGCTCTTTCTAATTATAGATTTTAACCAACGTTAAAGAGTTTCGAGGACGAGAAAGTTGAGCAAACTGTTTGGGAATCAGAACGGTACCATGCAGATGAGCCAAAAGGACTACGGTGCAACAGAAAGCTGATGGTTGGTGGCGAGGAACGCCACGTCTCGTCTTCATCAAAAGAAGGCAGCTACAAAGTTCACCACCCAGTAGTTCAAACCACCTTCTGACAGGATCTGGAAAATTATTTTTATATTTAAAAACATTTAGAACATGGCTGTTTATTTAGATCAGGGGTGTCAAACATGCGGCCTGCGGGCCGGTTCCGGCCCGCCGAACGATTTAGTCCGGCCCGGTGGCTAAATGCATTATCATTATTCAAATTTTTTTTTTTTTTTTTTGGAATGCCAATAAAAATGCAACCCTGCATCAGAACTAACGGCAGCAATGAGCTTCAGATGTGGAGAATTTATTTTAAATATTTTCATAATTTGATCAGCTCACACGCATAATGCACTTAAATAAATGTTTAACTGAGTAAAAGTATTGTTGAAATTGCACATACATGCACATATTTCTTAAAAACGCTGAGGTTATTCATAACATATTGTCTAAAAGTGAAATTCATTTAATATAAAAACCAACAAGTCCCCTTATTACTAGTTATTAATTACTTATTATTAATTCTATTTAATCTTGCAATGAGTTTACTTGTGTGGCCCCCTTGAGATAAGATTAAGCTGCATGTGGCCCCTAAACCACAATGAGTTTGACACCCTTGATTTAGATATTACTTGGATCCAACTTCATATCAGCAATATAATGAGTTTATCCATCTTATAATTCTTAGATAAGTAATCTAAAAACATGGACGGAAGGATGATTTGCCTCCTCTCTCTCTCTCTTCCATGTCAAAATGTTTGTGATGTTAATGCTCGAAACAAGAGCTTTGATCAGTTTATTAATATATTTGTCATATATTTGTTTGTTATCCATTAAAATATTTGTCATTTGTTTCTAATCAAGGTTATAGAAAGAAACAAGCAGGGATATTCTCTAGTCCTAATAAAGTATTTCAATTCAGTTTATTTATATAGCGCCAATTCACGCCAATTTTAGAATTTGTACTTAAAATATGTTTTTTGTCACATTTAAAGACGTTAATTTCATGTTTATTTGAAGTGATTCAATCTATGGTTGGAGTTCTACTATTTGTCTTATAGTGAGATTTGTTATGAGACCAAACGAAGAACGTCAGGAGTATATTTCATGTTTAGATCAAGGCTACAGATAAATGCAACATTTCTCTTTCTGGTTAAGTGTTTTGAGAAGAATCTTTGATGTTTTAGGGATGGTTCTTGTCATGGACATTGACATAGATAAACAGCTTCTATTAGAGGGGAAAAAAACAGTACATCTTAATGGTACTGATGTCAATCAAGTGCATTAGAAAAATGCAGATATATTTCAAATCTCTCCACACCAAAGCAATGCAAAGATGGCTGGTAATGATGACACACAGGTTTCTTTAACTTGTTTTGACTCAGCAGTGGAAAAATGTTTAGTTTATTTGTTAACATTTGTAATATGGCAAGCCAATTAGTTATATAATTAATGCAATTTGCATGATCTGTGTTGTTCAATATTGTAAGACATTTTAAGGAAGGTTCTGTATCGTTTCGTTTCGAACCAGATTTATATCACATATAGTGCAGGTCCTTGTTTTCCATCTGCTTTTTCTGCCTCCCAGCAAACAGATCCTTTCCTAAAAAAATCATCTGAGTTTTATTTGTTTGTATGCATTTCTTTACTGAACTTAGATAAGAAGAAAAAATATTTTTACTTTTCAGTGACGTGAACAACCTACTCGGTAACAGGAAACCATTTAGGCTTACTCTGGAAAAACGATCTAGAAATAAGTAAAAAATGTCTTAAATTTAGTGTATTTATCCTTAATTTTAGTAGGTAAATGAGATAGTTTGCCAATGGAATGAGTATTTTTACTCTTAAAATAAGATAATTAGATAATATGCACTTGAAATAAGACAATGCAATTGTGTTTTCTTTTCTTAAGTGTAAATTGTCTCATTTCATAGGCAAAAATCCAAGAAATTTAAGAAAAAAACTTCTTATCTACCTTTCAAATTTTTTCCAGTGTAGTTGTCAATTCTACTTTTGAGCAGAAAAGGTAACCCAGGGTGTGTTTATGTGCTGCTGAATCAGATTAATCTATTCAATTAATTACTATTTATCGTTAATTTTCAATTACGAGAAAGAAACGTTAGCTCTATAAAATAATGAAAACTTTTGTTTGGGATGTGTCTTTCCTTCTATTTGATTTAATTAAGGATGTCGCTGTAAGTTTTTTTTTATTTAGAGGTTACTCAGACAAAAGGCATTTAAGAAAACATCCGGATCACATGAGCCATTTTAAATCTTGGTGCTAATACAGCGACAACATCTCAGCAATCAGAGATTCTCTGATTACTTTGTGAGGTATCTTTCCCAAACACTGTAAAAAAAAAAACACTGTAGATTGTTTTCATCTTGGTTATTTGTGGCACGCTTTGCAAATACTGATGTAATTTTTGCTTAGTGTGAGGTCTGACACTGAAAAATCTGTATTTAAAACCTGATAATTAAGGAGATTAAAATGGGGATCTGCAGAAATATGGCTTCCAGACTTTCCCTTCAGTCGACCATCTATTCCTACTTAAGGCCTTTTCTATTTTAACTCACAGAGACGTAGAGAAAAGCTGTTAAATGGTCATAAAACATGTTTGAGTGACACAGCAGACGAGATGAGAAAAAAAAAACATTTAACATTTTTAACATAATCGTTCAAATATACAAAGAACTCGCCAGACAAGATTCGCAGATGAAAATCATCATCATCAGGAAGGCATCAAACTGTCTTTAAGGGGAAAGAAAGAAAAAAAAAAGAGCTGCTCTGCTAGCAGCTGTAAACAGTGTCTTCGTTCCCTTAATAACTCGGCCGAGCCGAAGCTGAACAGCCTGCCAAAAAAACGCCGAAATGCTTCACAGCTTGACAGCTTTTCTAAATGTTCTTATAGCAAAAAAAAAAAAGGTTCCTGCAGACGTTTACGTTGTACTGATTTAATCAAAGTGCTGAAGCAATGGCACGGCTATTTCAAACTGAAAAAATAAGAAAGTAAAGAAGTATTATGGTTTAATTTTCCCACTGAGGAACGTTTGCATTCAGGGTTCGAATGTGGCAGAGCTACAGGAGATCATCTAAGAACACAGGTTGCAGGCACTAACGGCCCGGAGGACAGTTTAAATAATAAACCTCTCAATAAATTAAAATCAGCTTCGGCAGCCTGAGTCCAGATAAGCCGAGAAAAGGTGCGGCGCAACGAAAAAAACCAACCGCCTCGCACCGAGAGGAGATATCTGTTGGTTTCATCGCTGCCGTCTTCAAGACATTCACTGAAAGAAGAGTTCGTATGGATGGAGGGACAGACGAAGGGCGCTGTGACATCACACCCTGAGGAGGTCCTCGTCGCTGTCCTCGTCCTCCCGTCTCCGGCTGTTACTGGGATTGCTCCCTGAGGAGCGAGGTTTGCTGCTCCTCCTCGCCCTGTCTGACTCCTCCAACAGACCCACCAGGTCTTCATCACTTTCCTCCTGAAAGAAGGAGAACAAAAACAACTTGAGGTGAGCTTTTGGAGACCAGCGGAAGAGACGCCTTAATGGGAGCAGGACTGGTTCAGACCTGCAGGAAGGCGCTGCGCTGAGTCCTGGTGACTCCTGAGGGTTTGAGGACTCGGACCCCCGGGACGCTCAGCACCTCGTCCTCGCTGTCCTCGTCCTGCTCGTCCAGAGAGAACGAGCGAAGGCCGTCCGTGTTCACCGGCTTGGTCCTGATGTGGCCGTTGCTATGGTTACTCCTGCTGCGCTGCGAGGTTGAAGAGAGGGGGGCTTCGAGCTCCTCCATCAGCCACTCCATCTCCTCTTCACCTCCTTCTTCGTCGGTGTTAACCTGAGGATTAAAGGGCCGATTAGCCGCAGAGCTTAAAAACAAACCAAAAGCGCTTCCCTTTCCGTAGGCTTAGAGAAAACTAACCTTTGAATATTTATAGGAGATTTGATTTCCTTTCTTGCAGCAGCCGGCGACCTTCTGCATCACCAGCTCGCTGGAAGAAAACATAGTTTGATTTAACAGAAGGTAGAATAAAGTAGGGCTGGGTGATATAGAAAAAAAAGCTTATCGATAAAAAAAA